TGATTTTCTGAGTGGAAATTTAATTTAATTTAATTTAATTATATTTTAAATATTTATTTATTTATTTATTTATTTATTTATTTATTTGAGAGTGAGGGAGAAGAAAAGATCACATGAGCAGGGGTAGGGGCAGAGGGAGAGGGAGAAGGAGGAAGCAGACTCCCTGAGCATGGAGCCCAGTAACAGGGCTCCTTCTCAGGACCCTGATGTCATGACCTGAGCTGAAATCAAGAGTTGGACCCTTAACCGACTCAGCCATCCAGGTGCCCTGGAGGTTTTAATTTTAATGAAGTCCAGTCTATCAGTTCTTTCCTTCATGGATTGTGTCTTTGGTGTTGTATCTAAAAAGGCATCACCATATCCAAGGTCATCTAGGTTTTCTCCTATGTTACTTTCTAGGACTTTCATAGTTTGGCCTTTTATACTGAGATCCATGATCCATTTTGAGTTAATTTTTTTGTGAAAGGTGCAAAGACTTTGTCTTGATTTATCTGTCTATTCATTTATTTATTTGCAGATGGCTGTCCAGTTATTCCAGCATTGTTTGTTGATGACCTGCCTGTGCTTTTATATTGAAAGTGAATTTCTTATTAACAGCATATAGATGAGACTTGCTTTTTTTTCCTCCTTCCAAATCCCATATGTCTATTTGTGCTTTTTGTTTGGATTATTTAGACCAGGGTTTCTCAGCTTGTAATGACAGTTTGTTCAGATAGGTTTTGTGTGTGTGTGTGTGTGTGTGAGTCTGTCTTATATATTGTGGGATATTTAACAGCATTCATGGCCCCTACTCGTCAGTCATCAGGTCACTCTACATTGTTTTCAGCATTATTTCTTTCCATTTTTTAGTTTAAAGAGTACATTTCTATGCCTTTCATCTCCACCCACCCCCACACATACACTGTGAAATCTGCTATAAAAGCCCATGTCTAGGCAGTACCTCTTTTTTAAAAATTAAAACATTCACTAAAATCATAGAGCATTGCCAGTAAGCTCACCTTCATATATACAAAATAAAGCTCAGAACATTCAAGCAAGACTTACAATTACATAGAAAGAAAATGTAAAGTGATGTAAAATGTAAAAGAAAATGTAAACAAATATTTCATTAATAACCAGAAAGTTTGAAAACTCTGACAAAGGACAGTGGGTCTTGAGTCCTGGAATTAGATTGCTACTCTTTTCCTAGGTTCTACCAGATGCAGCAAGATCTGAACTTTTATGAATTGTTTCAGCTTTTCCCCATGTGACACCTAATTTAGGCATGCTGGAAGAATAAAGTAATTATTTGATTAATATTTTGGAATGCAGAGGTCTTGAGTTATCATTTTAGTATTATTAGTATTGAGTTATCATTTCTATTGGACTACACTGTGATACATTTTCTCTGGATTGTGCCTGTTTTTAATGAAGGACCTTCTGTTTTTCAGACCCAATATCTTCAGTTAATACAATTGTGTTACTTCTTTGGCTCAAACTGAAGTTCCTATTACAATATTCTGTCTAGACCTTCAAATCCTATTCTAGATTTGGGTCCTGACTTTCTGCCAAGTGGCCACCTTCTCAGAACTCTACCTTAGCTTCTCTTTGGCTGTGTCCTTCTTGGATCTCTGTCTCACCCAGGCACAGACCCTTTGCACTTATAAACATGGACCTTGCCTATCTTGCTCACTACTGCAACCCTAGCAGCATAACAAGGATTTGTCTATATTAGGTGTGAATGCATATTTTGCAGATAATATGATGTTAACTGTAAGCCTAAAGGGTCATGACCATTCTCTGTATGTGCTCTGCATTGTTCTCTTGGCCCAGTATCCAGTGACAGTTGGGTCTGCCCTCAGATATCTGTCTCACTTTATCAGGTCATTGAAGGAAGGGTCAAAGGGTAATGTGTGAGTAAACTGAAAAGTCTTCCCAAGAAAGTCTGAGCTTTAACATTTAACATTTCCTAGATATGGCTATTTGGTTTGAAGAGACTGATTTCCTACTCATATGTTTTACTGAATAATTATAACACTTTCACTATTAAACATTCCATGTAAAATATATTTTATTAAAATAATAGAGCACAAAATAAATATCCATATGTACATGTAAATAGTGTTAAGAATAGTTTAAAGAATTACAAAGTATGATTATTATCATCTACCTTTGGAGAAACCTTTGACACTAACCCCTAGCACTAATATTCTTGCCTTATCATGAGTAAAGTCTCTATTTACATATTTACATATTTCCTTAGGTTCTGTGACTTCCAAGGTTTACACGTGGCTCTATTTCAAATCTGTGGCTGCAGGATTTGAGGGCTATGTTTTGTAAGAAGCCAAAAAATGAGCCTTCTCTTATTTTACTCTTCTCACATTAATGCTAGGATGTAAACACTCATGTGATGTAGCATGTTAGGACAAAGACATTATTATTCATCCTCTAAAACACAGCCTTCCTTTTCTCCATGTGGAAGAACATAAGAAAGAGAAAAATCACAGCCATGAAGAAAGAATTTGGCTTTAGCTCTTTTCCAAGAAGGATACATTTTTCCTCAATTCAATTGCTCTTCTACTCATTTTTCATTTGCCTTTGAAGCCATATATCTAGTGCCGATCTGATCCATACAGCACCTACTAGCCACATGTGGCTATTAGGCACCTGAAATGTGATCGTCCTGAGTGAAATGTATTGTAAATGTAAAACACACACTGGATTTTGAAGACCTAGTACACAAAAAGAATATAAAATATGTTATTAGTACATTTTCTTATATGTATTATGTGTTGAAATTATAATGTTTTAGATATATTGGATTCAGTAAAATACATCATTAGGATCAATTTAACTTTTCATATTTTAAGGTGGCTATTAAAACATTTAAAATTAAGTGTGTGGCTCACATTGGACAGCACTGTTCTAGAAGAGATCCTTATTTGTCTCAGTTATTATTGGGATAAAGCTGTCGTTAATCTGTACACCTTGTTTAGGAAATGAACCTGTCAATACCGCTTTTTTGTGTTAATACTGTTTTGATGGGAGCCATAAATGTGTAAAAGTTGCATATAAACACAACAATGCAAATCTTTCAAAAATATGTTTTAAATATAAAGATCTTACCAGTCTTATTTTGGAAGACAAGACTTGTGTCAAATTTTCTCAGTCTTGGGTGGTACATGCTTTAAATCCCCTGATGTAGCCCTTTCTGTGCATTCCATGTTCAAGTTTTCTAACAGCTAACTGGGGATATCTGGGTTTGTTGTACAATGTGACTGTGGTAGAGATTAGTCCTGAAGGTTTTTGGTCTCTTGATGAGTAGATGTTAATATATGATAGTGTTAAAACTGGTAGACTTTTAATATTCCCTAAGAGATTGTAGCTTAAATTTACCTTAGCATATTATATCTTCATATTTATAAGACCTTCCTGTTGCTATTATGCACACTTTAAACCAAGTCATTTTTTCTTATGTTGAAATGTGTGAGAGAATGAGATTTTGCGGAATTCTTTTTGAGGTACCAAAGAAAAAGGGCATCTATGGTATGAGCCTAATTGGATCTGGACATTCTGTTTTTACTTTTGAGAAATATATTATTCCCAGTTCAAATGCTGATTATGTGCTTTTAGCTATTGCTTCTTAATTATATGAGTATATGTTTATTACTCAAATGTAGCTCACAGTGATATCCAGGAGCAGAGGAATGAAATACCAAGTTATTGTTCTTCACTGTGAGATAGAGAAGACAAAGAAAGAGACAGAGTTTTGCTGAATGAAAGCTTAATTAGTTCAAGGATGAATCAGTGAAGGGTGTGAGACCCAGATTTTGGTAAGACTATTAGTATTGGACTGTTGAGAGATTTTCCTTCCATGGTCAAACAAGGAAACACACTTATAAGTTGTTATTGAAGCACAAAATCTTATATTTAGAAAGAATCTTCTAAAACAAGTTATTCACTGTTCTGAGGTGTAGAAGATGAGTAATATGGCACACAATGAGAACACCTCATTTGTTCCCTAGAACCAACGTTTTTTGTGGTAGTTGTGCAAGGCTTACAGTTCAGACCTTTAACTCTGTATCTAGTAGTTTCTTATATTGTCAGGTACACTACTCCCTATAAGTACCTTATTCCATTTCTCACTCTCATATTTGTATTCCCCCCTAATCAAATTTTGGGTTCCTAACAGCAACAATATTCTATTCTTGTGTCTTAATAGCTAACAGAATTCCTAGGACACAAAGTGTGCTTAGAAATGGTCCAATTAATATGAAAACAATGTTCAGGGGTTATGTTTTCCATATTTTAGTTATTATTACTAAATCATATATTACAATCCATAAACAATCTTTAACTCATTAGCAGAGCTATGTGTGCATATCATAAACTATGGAAGCCTGGATCCAAAGATAAATGTCCAAAGCACAAACTCATTGGTGAGAACTTAGGAGTCTCTTGAATCTAGTTAAACTCATTGCTAATTGTTGCACAAATGAGAAATCTACACAAAAATCCTCTCCTCTTCTCATGCCCATTTCCTAATGTCCCCCCAATTGCAGACCCAGTTACAGACCAGTAGCAACATTCCATCATTCAGGATTGAAATTTCACTCCTATTCTTTGTCTCCAATATGTTCCCTTCCATGGAAATAAGAATGCATTATATTATACAACTTTACCCCAAAGTATCCATACTTGTATATTCACTAATGTAAATTCATGACATATTAGCAGCTATATATTTAGGAACATAAATTTTTCACTTTAGAACCTACTTGAAGGAACCCCAGTATTTTGTCAAAACAGGAGAATATATATGGGAAAAGCAAAAGAGGTTAAAGATATTGTTAAAGGAGAAATGAAAGGGAAATTATGACACTTAAGTTTATTTAGGAAGAAACAATATCCAGTTTACCCATTTTGAGATTGTAACTCATAGATATGAATTTCTGCCCACTCACCCATTGTTGATTCAAAACTCATCCTATATTAGGGATGCAGAGATCCAGTTGTCCTCACTACCACCCCCTATTCAGTAATCTCTGGATTCCTTGCTTGATCTCCTGAGTTCGCACTCCATAAACAATGGGGTTGAGGGCTGCAGGGATGACATGGTGGAGAACATTGAGCAAGACTGGCACATCAGGGGAAACCTTCTTCACCACATGAGTGAGCACAAAGACCAGAAGGATGGTGCTGAAGAAGAGGATAAGGATCAAGTGGGAGCCACATGTGGTGAGGGCCTTGGCCACAACACCCTCTGCCCTGAGTCTCAGCACAGCTCGAAGGATGAGACTGTAGGAGAGGAAGATGAGGATGAGATCAGATCCTAGCAGTGTCCAGCCTACAGCAAACTGGTAGAGGCGATTGATGGTGACATCATCACAGGAGAGCCTGGAGACAGACATATTGGCACAGATGCAGTTCTCAATGACATTTCTCCCACAGTAATTGAGTCGGGATGATAGAATGGGGATAGGCACTGTAGAAATAATATTCCTGGCCAAAATAAAAATGGCAGCCTTGGCTACAAATTGGTCAGTGATGATGGTTGGGTACCTCAGTGGGTGGCAGATGGCCACATAGCGGTCATAGGCCATGACCATGAATGTGCAGGACTCCATGGCAAGGAAGCAATTCATGATGTACATCTGAAGGAAGCAGGCATAGAAGCTGATGGACTTGAGGTCAAACCAAAAGATGGCTAGGACCTTGGGAATGACAGTGAGGCAGAGCATGATGTCCAGCAGGGAGAGGATGCTGAGCAGGTAGTACATGGGCTCATGCAGAGAGGCCTCCATCCAGATGGTGATCAGAAGAATACCATTTGCCCCCATGGCCAGAAGGAAGAGGAGGCTGAGGGGCAGGGAGAAAGAAAGCTGCCAGCTGGAGGACCTGACAAAACAATTCAGGATGAAGTCTGAAAGCTCAATGGAGATGTTGCCATTTGGGTGTACTGTCATCTTTTGTCATATATTTCTATAGTTTTAATGATCTGTAAAAGTAAGGTAAAAATTAGCTACTCAAGACACATGAATTTAGAAGAATTTGCTTCACTTGGGTGAAACCCATGAGTCCTAGGAGGTCATCTAGAGCCATGTGAATTTTTGTGTTCACCCTTTGTGCCATCCTGCTCAGGTGTTACTATCACTAAGCAGTATAGAGGAGTGAGGTAATATGGTTCATTTATACATTTTTGATTTGTTTAAGTTCTATTTTTAAGAGAACTGTTATGTCTTTGCAGCAACTAAAGAGAAGGAGAAAATTACTTAGAAAACTACTTTGTGACAGGTGAGTCTCTAAATTTGTACTTCAAAATTTGTACTTCTAAATTTGTTTCTTCATTTTTGTATTTTGTTCATTAATGACCACCTAGACTCACACATTACAATTTAACTATAATAACATGCAGAAATAAGTAGCAGAGTCTGGCACAAAGTAGGAACTCAGGTACATGTTCCTAGTTCTCCATGACATCACGGTTCTGAGTTTTCAGCTATAGCTGGCTTTAATCACAGATTAAAAATATTATACCCTGGCTTTAACATTAGTTAATTTTCATTTTGTCTAAAAAGTCATTTTAATTTGGTGGGTAGGGATCCTGCCAAATAATTGCCAATAAATCTTCATATATGTAGGATTCTTAACTCAGGGAAGTAATAACATATAAGTAGAATGTGCAAATGCACATAGGTATGTGGGAGCCATACATGTCATTGACAAGTTGAATATTGATTATATTCATTGCAATAGTGTGAGAATGATGAAGTCTACCTTCAAAGTCCTTTCATCCCCTTTCTCTTTCCCTTTCTGTTTTTAATATAATGATCCAGGCTCTCTTGTCTAGTGATTATGCTTTGCTTTTGTGGAGTGGCTCACAAAGACTGGGAGATGCTGCACATGCTGGAAGTCATGAAGATAAAAACCCATAGAAAAATAATATCCAGTCTTGAGTTGGTGACCAAGGGACCTTCTCTTGTCTTGGGCACTATGTTCATTAAACTCTTCCTTTCTTTCAATTTTTCTTGTTGGATACATTCACTTGTATATTTGAGATATAACTAATATCATCTGCTTAGCCCAGACCTTGCCACAATGACCCTCAGCATGTACAACCTCATACCCCTAAATTTGAAATACTCCCTCTAATCACCACTTTGATCACTTACATTTTGTCTTTTTATCTTGCTCATTGCATCCTCTGATCCTACTCTGCAAAGTTCTGACATTTAATTCTTACAAGTCAGAGCCCCAAATCACACATGTCCAAGAATCTTCTCTTCTTCCATTTCAGAGTATTCTTGGTAGGAATTAGGAATTCACTGCATGGAAGGAGGGAATATCTTGAAATGAACCTTGGAGGGTACAGCCAAATGGAAGAAATGGCAATTCAGACATGAGTGTTGTTGCTCTTCAGTCCCTAATTTATCCAACAAACATTGAACAACCTACTCAGCCCTAGAAGTAGAGCATCTGAGACCATATATGTCCTTCTTCCCCTCCTGTTTCAATCTTGGATTGCAATCAGAGCTAGGCAATGCATCTCTGGAACCATCCAGCAAAAGATCCTAAAAGGCAAAATGATGGCAAAAGGGAAGGCCTCAGAGCACAGATTCTCACATGTGCCTCCTGACCTGAGATAGGATGCAGTCTCTACTACCCCATTTTCAGACTATTTCAGCCATACTGACACAGGAATGGAAGAGAGCACATACCTGGACTGAAGAGGAACATCTACCCCATGTTCTGGCTAATCTTGGTATAACTGCCTCTCAGGCACCCTCTAACCAGACTCACCTACAGAGGATGTGAACAGGGGGCAGGCCCCACTGATACTGGAGTTCTGGCTAGTTCCTAAAATATCTGATATAGTTATAACTCCAGAGCCTCAGGGACTCTGCCCTCTGGGAACTTCTCCATCCCTACTCCTTGGGCCTTAGATGCCCTCCTGGGACAGACAGGCAGGCAGGTGTGAGAAGGAAATGATTTTCTTTCTCCCTAAAAGTAAGGAGATCTGTTAATCCAGTCCCACATTGACTGTGTGTTTGTAGGCAGTTAGTCTCCTGGGTGTAGGCGTGTTATATCCATCTATCCATTTTCACATATGTACACATGCAACTCAGTGCCTTCCAAGGGTCCAATAAGCTCACTCAGAAGTTCTGATGGGCTTCCTGCACATAATTTTTAAATAAGCCTTCCCAAACCATACTTTCAAATGGATTGATGTTAACTTATCATGGCTTTTACCATTGCATTATAATGATAATAATGCAAGAGAACCTTAAAAAAGCATTCCTATGAAAATGCAATGTGTTTTCAGAGAACACTCTTCAAAATCACTAAAAATAGGTCAACACCCTGACATCTAATAGACTCATGAGTCTGAGACTCATGAGTCTCAGAGACAAAGAGAAAATCCTGAAAGCGGTTCGGGACAAGAGATCTCTAACCCACCAGGGTAGAAACATTAGATTGGCAACAGACCTATCCACAGAGACCTGGCAAGCCAGAAAGGACAGGCATGATATATTCAGAGCACTAAATGAGAAAAATGTGCAGCCAAGAATACTATATCCAGCTAGGCTGTTATTGAAAATAGAAGGAGAGATAAAATACTTCCAGGACAAACAAAAACTAAAGGAATTTGCAAACATGAAACCAGCCCTACAAGAAATATTGAAAGGGCTCGTCTAAGCAAAAAGAGAACCTTAAAGTAACATAGACCAGGAAGGAACACAGACAATATACAATAACAGTCACCTTACAGGCAATACAATGGCACTAAATTCATATCTTTCAATAGTTTTCCTGAATGTAAATGGGCTAAATGCCCCAATCAAAAGACACAGGCTATCAGATTGGATTAAAAAACAAGACCCATGGATATACTG